CTTTCCCTATTCTCCTCCTCATTTGAGCTGAAGATCTGTTTTCTCACACCTTCAGCTTTTACTTGAAGAGCACAGAGAAGCAGCAGTGGGATGCAAGCTTTGCATCTGTCAGGAAAACCATGCCTTTTCCTGTGAAGTCATTTAAGAGACAAAGTCACTGTTGATCTGCACTGATTTACACCAGGAAAAGATCTGGCCAGGAAATGTTTTGGTTGTGAGGCTCCTTCCCTGACCAGATCAACAGGGGTAACTCTCAGAAGACCCTGGATTTACATGCGACTCAAAGTGCTTGAGGAAGAGATGCAACCAGGCCCCACCATTCCCCACCTAAGACTTTATGGGTGGGCAAGTACATCTAGGGAGAAGCAAATACGATCCCCATCCATGCTACCTTGCTCTCTGCACCAAGGGAAAACAGAAACCAGGAACACAGCCTTTGCCCCAGACAATCTCCTGTGTCTTACAGAGAAGCACCCATGAGCTACCATGGTAGTCCAGCTTTATGAACTTAATATTTATAGACAGCGAGAGATGAGACATGGCCTGTGCTGTGTATAGCCTTGCAATTTATGTGTTGGCAGCAGTGGCTGATGGGAGATGTGCTCTGAGGCTCAAAAGTGTGCTTAAGCTTTGTAAATACAATCAGTTCAGGCTGAAGTGAGTGAACAATGTGGAATGTTTTGAGGCCAAATTTGACTTCAGGAAAAAAAAAAACACCATTGAGCCAGTGGTACTTGAATGCGTTGTGAAAGCATGCGTCTCTGGGGTCATAGTGTGACCTCCTGGCTCAGACAGTAAGGACCCCAGTACGCTCACTGCAAATTAAAACGTTGCATATGCTCTGAGTGCAAAAAGATTGTACACAGTGCCTGTAAGTAGCCTTCCTGAAATGCTCTTGCCTCTGCTGGTGGTCTTGCAGCTTCAGCACTGAATGTCTGGCTCATGCTCTCTATTTTTCAAAAGCATTAATAATCATAATCCATATAAAACTGTCATATTGGTTCAACATGTACGTCACCAAAGCCCTGACTAATTTATCAAAGATTTAGTGTTCAGTTGAACAAAGTCTCATTTTTGTAAGCAGATGCAGTTTGCTGGATTGTCCTGTCATCACCCACAGTTTCCACTGGAAAGATGCATCATATCAGCAACTTCTAAAAGTTAAAAAATGTACATTTTAAAATAGTAAAGTAAACACTTATTGCATGTTCCATGTTAGTCATGAATTAAATAGAGAGCTTAGGAGATAATGCTGCTTGTGATGAAGTGGGACTCCAGTACTACAGCCACTGGTGGATGGATGTACAGCAGACTGGTTGCCCACCGCAGTGATGATGATGGTGCAGTGCACAGCAGTAACGTCCCTAGAAAACAGATCATGAGCTGCTCAAGGGAGCTAAAATTGCTCAACCAGACGTAGAAACTGAAAATGTCAATTCAAAGATGTGTCATGCAATGCAGCCCCGCCTTGTCTGGATGATTGCAGGGCTGTGCCCAGTGCATGGTGATGTGCAGGAGCAGAATGTCAGACTTTGATAGAAATAGTTGAGCACAGGAGACGGCTGTAGGAAAGTGGGAAGAAGACAATGGTACCACTGCCTCAGTGGTGGGAGGCACAGCGGAGAAACTTCTGCATGGGACATGACTTGACAGATACAGGGAACAGACTGGTGTAGGGGTTTTCCCCACATAAGGATCAAGAGTACAGATCAAACGTGGTTCTACACTATGGTTCAGAGCACAGACACCAGGGCTAGATATGGACACAGTCTGTCCCAGGGGCTGCACGTGGGGGCAGTTTGTGTCCCCTCTGGCGTATAATAAAGTGACAGAAACACCCTAGGAGCATCCTTCCTGGCCAAGGCACTCAAAATCTCTCCCAGCAATGAAAAGCAGCATAAGACAGAATGGGATGGCTACATTTTCTGACCTGCTGCCAGTGGAAGACAACTCTGTGTGAGCAGTGAGGACAGGTTGAAGCAGACAGTGAGATGGATGGGGATGAGAGAGCAGATGGCAAAGTCCGTGCTGGTACAGAGTAGGAATAGGGATGTGAAAAAGTGCTGGCATACGCAGTGTGGAAGAGATAGTATCGTATACAATGCACTATTCTTACTTCCTTATACAGTAAATTGGTAACTTTTTTTGTATTAAATCAGATTTTATCACTGAATCAATCTTGCACTTTTCTATTCTTGTTCTCTACAAATGACCTTTTTTAGCTCTCCTCCGCTCTTTCCTGATGGGACTCATTAGGGGCTGGTGCTGATTTTAACAGCATTCACTTTCACTTACCATCTCCAGATTTTTTTTAGACAATACTTTTTGTTGAAACGGACCTTGCAGCTTTCTGGTGCTGTGCTCAGTATCAGCAGCTCCTCCAGGGTTGTGTGCCTGCATCCCACAAAGATATTTGATGTAAGCACTATCATCTTTCCCCTCCCAATCGCCAGTGAGATATGAGTGTCATCAAGGGAAACACCACCTTGCAGATGTTTTGTAGATGAACAACTTGAACTTGCAGAATTTCTTGAGACTGTTCATGATACGTTTTCCCGAACACCACATAAACCACAGAGCAGAGCAATGTGGTAAACAATTAAATAAACAATTCCTCTCATCTCTCAAAAACTTTCAAAATTTTTACCTGATCTGATTGAATTCTTCATAAGGGCTTTAAATCTACCAGACGTGTTTCTTAATCATAACTTTCACGTCAAAGAATAGTCTCTGCATGGATTTTATTTCACAGACTATTTGTACACTGGCTGGCATAAAAACCAGAAGAGGGTTTGCACTCATTATTTGCTATCTGTACAATGCAATTAGCAGCCTATTCTGCATTGTATGGAATTATTTCCATCACTCATTTTGTTCAGCTAACCAGACCATTATGTTAAGGAAGACTGTGCACATTTGTAGATCTGTTCTGTGTTTCTAACAGTTCAAGAGCTTTCTCATGTGGGTACCCCATGACTGTTTTTTTTTCATTACACCCCTGGCTTTCTGCAAATATTCTGTGCTTATGGGTGGAAAATCTTCCAGAGAAGCATCCAAAGGTGCAGATCCAGCAGACAAGGTGGACAGCATCACATAGACAATAAGGAATACCGAAGTATTTCCCTGAAATGTTTTTAACGTGGGACAACAGATGGAATAATGGTCTGTAATTTAATTGTTTCACAAATGCCAGTCTTTGTTCTTTGTTCAAAGGGTTTATTGGGGACTTTGTCCTCACCTACTCCTCTTCTTTTCCAGAGGTAGCTTTGGTACTTGGTTCTCTACCTGATCACTCGAAGTGGAGCAGCCAGAATCTGAATCAGTCCCTTCAAACACGGTGATGAATGGTGTGATCAAGCAGGATCGCTCAGACCAGAAAAGTGCACCAAGTGGAAATGAAGAAGAAAAGACATCCAAAGAAAAGGCTGCCAGTGAAGTGAGGGATGGCACCAAGCTCCAGTCACCACCGTTCGCAGAGAGGAAGAACGGTAAGTTCAACGTCCAGTGGTGTCAAAAAAGGGGAAGTGAGTCTACTCACAGAAGTCTACCCTACAAAAACTGGGTGCGTGCTGGTTTAGCATCTCTAGCACATGCTGGGCTTGGGGGATGGCTCATCATTATTTTTGCATGGTGCTTTTGAGGATGCTTCTTATGGAAACATGTTAAGATTTAATAGAAGTGACTCCTCAGTTCAGTATTCCTGTATTAACCTTAAAGGCTGTTGTTAGACTTGAGGCAGTTGCCATGTTCTTTGCAAACCAAGTCTTTGGTACAATTATGGCTGAAATGTAGCAATTCAGGGTCCTAGGCATAGACTGGTGTTCTGGTTGTAGAAGTGGGATTTTCTGAGGAATTAGGGTGACTCAAAGTTCATCACTGGAGAGGAAACAAAGGATATATTTTGTTTGCAAAGGCACTGATAGCCCTGTTGTGCTCTCATGGAGCACTGGCGGGTTATTGTCTTCGGCAAAATTACTTCGGGTCAATGTAACAGAGCAGAATTTGGTCTGGGCTTCTGCAAGGATGATTTGCGTTTCCATGACTATGGGTCCAGAAACTGGTCTTGTTGTCAGGTGTTCATCCAGATTTCAGGGGAGATCTGTTGGAGGAAAACTGATGGACAGTGAGAAAAAAAACACAATTCAGTCTGTGCAAAGCATGCTCGCACTCAAGAGTTGTTTGCCGTTTCTTTCAGGCAACTGTATAATGTATGAAATGAAGAAAATTCTGTTTGTGCACTCTAAGGCTTTAAGTCCTCCAAATATCATGTAACGTGAAAGTGCAGCTTGAAGGCACTATTTTTGCTTTGTGTCTTTGTTTGCATTATTGTACAGGACCCAATTTTTCTCAATCACTATAAATCAGAAATAATCCAAATGATGTCATCGTGGCAATGTACTGGTGTCAGACTGGAATAACACAGCAGAGAATCAGGCCCAGAGTCTGCCCGTAGTCAGATTAAGTCATATCAGCGAATGCATTTCTTTTTACAGTCCCAGGTATCAAAGGATACCTGAGATAACATGATACCAAAGGGGAAGATAATGTAGACTTGCAAAGGCATAGTGTTAAGACTGGTTTGTGAAGCATAATATTCACACTTTCCATTTTCTCTATGGCTTTTGCATTCTTCCTTTTTGCATTCATTTTCCCACTTGTTTTTTTGTTATGGAAAGGCAAAGAAATAAAAATCTCCAGGTGCCCATAGGCAAAAGCTGCCCTTGAGCATGACCGGCAGGCTCTGCACCACAAAAGTGTAGACAACAACTGCATTAAGTGCATATAGTACAGCAAGCATCTGCCTTGCAGCTGATCTCTGTGTCTGGGGGTTCATGTCCTGCTCACAACCATCAACTTGGCGGTCTAGGCAAGATATAGCTCCACCCTTGTAGCCCCTCTAAACTGGGTCGTTTGCAAAATCTGTAAGTGAGAAGAGCCTCCCACAGTCTGGGCATCCCTCCAGCCCTTTGCTCTCCTCCTTTTGGTGTTTTTCCTTTCCTTTTGCATATTTAGACAGTACAGAAGCTCAGCTCAGGGCTTGTGGGCCCACATGTCCCACTTGGGAACAGCCGGCTCCCTTCATCTCACATCATCCCAGGAGTTGGCAGGCCTGCCAAGTGTCACGCATCTCGTGTGGCACTCAGGCTTTCCTTTGAAGTCACATTCTCCTGTGTGACAGCTCCTGCAGGGCTGATGAAACAGCCTGATAAACGCTTGGCTTGGGAGACGAAGAGGAAGAATGGCTTCTCCCACTGCAATGCAGCCTGTCCTCCTTAAGGGAATACAGCAGCCACCTCCCTTTGCCCTGTGAAGGCCAAGAGCTGCAGAGAAGGGATCCCTGAGGAGGGTGTAGGTGAGAGCTCCTGGCTTGCCATACTGCCCCTTAACTGCTCCTGTTCCCTGGCCGCAAACCCTGCATTGCCCCCAGTGCTCCAGCCTACCCACTGCTCACTCCCACCTTCACCCTCAACCCCACCAATGTATGGGGGCAGAGCAGTAGTGGGGAGCAGGCAACCACTGGATAAGACACGGATACTGAGGTAGACAGAGTGCCTGCAGAATAAGGTGGGGCAAAGGGATACAGCTACCATCTTTAGTGACCTATCAGGGCATGTAAGGCTTCCTGAACCCATTGAGTAGCTTGTCATGCCAGAACTGCTGCTAACATTTTATTTCAAGGAGAAGCAAATGCAGTTGTTACTATCTCCTCCCAGCCTGTTGCATCCCATCTGCTGAGGAGATAGAGTGTACACACCTCAGATAGGCAGGCTTTATGCCCTACCACCCTCCAGTTCAAGGCTAGTGATCTCCAGAAGGTTGATAGGTATGAGACAGACACCCATCTGTCAAGGATATAGTTCCTCAGGGAAGACTAGCTCCTGCATGAGTCTGAACTTTCAAACTGCAGTCTTTATTTGACTTAACTTTGATTTAATAAAAACAGTCTAGCTAGAATATTTTTAAATAGGAAAATAGTCTTTTTAACTCTTGTATTATTCAAAAACAGCTGAGAGGATTTCATTTAAATTTGTAAAAATAAATCACCTTTGAGCAAGCACAAAGCCCATTCATCAGGACCTACAAAAAGCAAGGACTGGATGCATAGGTACAGGAAAATGGGGACTGTTGCCTCTACAGTGAGCTGTATTCCTAATGTCTGCTTGCCCAGCTCTACACCCTAGTCCTGGGCTGTTTCTTCCCCTTGGATGGTACACTCTCAGACTGCTTTTGCACCATGGTATACCAAGCGCAGCTCTGACCGTGCTGTCTCCCATAGCCCACAATGCTTATATGCTCAATGACATCTTCTCCTTGTAAGTCCCATTGGCTTTTGTGTACAGCTGGCGTTCAGAGTCAGGGACAGGCACTGTGAGCTCAGTACTGCAACGTCACCCCTCAACCAATGCTCTGCATAACCATTTCTTCTGTATGTGTAGTGAGTCTCAAAGTCAATGCATGGCGTGTCTCAGAGTGAGGACACCAGCTGTTCTGCTCACTTCCCTCTGAGTGCTGGTTTGCTTGCACACACCAGCCAAAGGTACAAAAAAGCCATAGGATAACACATGATGCAGCAGATACACAGGCTCCTGCAGGGCACTGGGGTGCCTAGGAGCTGCCTATCCAAGGTGCTGGACCCTTCAGCCTGAGGATAATGAGGGACAGTGGCTGCACTACAAAATGTGAACTGGAGCCCCATTGTGCAGATACTAAAGGTCATCACACCCTGATCCAGAGGTGATTGGTAGGTGCAGCCTTCACAGCCTCAGCCATCCACTCCTTAGTGCTAATTAATCAGTTTGGAGTTAGAGGTCCACAGGGCAACCCCAGCCATGGAAAAAGAATATACTCTCTTCAACACCTTTTTGTGAGTAAAAAACCTGAACGTCCTGCTGGTGGGATAGCAGTTCCTGACAGCCCCTTAAGCAACCTTAGGCTCCATAAGATGCTTTTCCTTCCTGGATCCATCTGAAACCCTCTCAGATGTTGTTCTTTCTGACACGAGGGCCCATGGAAACCTTCTGAAGCATCAGTGCTCCCAGAATCATTTTCTTCATCTGGCAATGGCCTCCCTCTCACCCCATCCCATCTCACCCCATCCCATCTCATCATACCGCCCTCCTGTACTTTATCCTTTCAGCTGCCACGAGAACAGCCGTACACCACTTCTGTGCTCATCTTCTCTGGCTTGCATCAAGCCTACCCTTACCCTGCTCGTCCCCTATGTGACTGAAGATACTGACTTCTCTGTACACCTTCCCCACACTAGGGAAGGCTGTGCGGATGCAGGGTCTGTGGATAACTTTAACCAAGCATGTCTCCCAGTGTCAGTTTGGCCAGCTGGGTTTCAACAAGAATGCCATGCTATCACTTGTCACAAGAAAAAGGATCAGAGACCATGCAAGAGCTACTTCCTATCAAGCAGCTTCTCAAAAGCTGTCTCAGTCCATGTGCTCAGTGTGTGAGGAGACAGGCATCCAGTACCATCCAAGGATAGCAAAGAGTTGCAAACCCTCATTGTCTGTCCTATGACTCTGACAGTCAGATGTATTTCACTTAAGAAGATATCTAAATGGCAGCCATCCAGTCTGATCCGATGCGGTTTCGTGCCCAAGAAGCCCCTGCTCTGGGTGGGCTCAGTCCCCTCTGGAGTGACCCATTTCTCTCCGGTGACTTTTAGAGCTTAGATGACCAACTCTTACTGAGACACTCTTTAGGGAAGAGATTCATGTCACCCATTTGTCTCCATAGATCCGATTGGACCCAATCTGGGTGCCAGAGTTCTATTACGGGTTGCGGATCTAGTTCTTCGAGCCCAGAGAGCCATTTCTCTCACCTATATGTGGCCAGATGCCACTAATTGGTAAGTTGTATGGGATCCATCTCATACTAGCTAGCATCTCTGCTAGCTTTCAGGTAATTGCAGTTAGGAGAGCTGCAGTGTTCCCTTTGTGCCTACTCAGGTTCAGTAGCCTGCTTGCTAACTGCTCATAATTTTTCCACATAGTTTGCCCATCGCAGATTTTGGGAAATAATGTAGTTAAAGTCTTCTGTTTATTTGTGTAGTGAAATAGATCCTCTGACCACTGGCTCCTTTAGCTTTCTGCAACAAAAGGGAGGATTTTGAACTGCTCATCTGGTTTGCGTTTAATGTAATGTGCAGAAAGGTTGCACATTTTCAGTGCCCTTGTTCATAAGTAGTAGAGTGTACAACAGTTTATTACACCAATGGAGCTTTTTATTGCTGGGCTTTGTTGAATTGCCAGTTAGGATAAAAAAAAAAAAAAAAGTAACATGCTTCATAGGCCCAACCCAAGAAAATTAGAAAGCATAGAAAGCATTAAATTCTGCTCAAACTATCAGCCATTGGTGAGCTGGTAATCAAATCCAGAAAGGCTGGTCAGAGGTCAGGACTTTCTTGCTCTTGGAGTTTTTGAATCAATAATTACGATGAAAGTCATAATAATGAAATATATTTAAAAAAAAAAAA